TTTTTTTTTTTAATAAACCTCATTTTGTGTTAAACTGCAAGAAGAATGGGTGAAATATCGAAATTGCTTACCGCTGGGCTCAGTCCACGCGCAGCACTTCCTCCGCGTCCCTTGGTGCGGAACTTGGTAATCGCCTGTTCAGCGAGGTCCGCCCTTTCCTCCGCTTCTTCCAACTCTTGCTGCGCTTTGCGGAATTTGGCAAGATTCAGGGCAGCGATCTCTTCAGCCTCTTCGATCTGCCTCTTGTACGTCTTGATCTTCTGCTGGAGCTTGTCAACGAGGTCTTGCATGCGTTCGTGGTTCTTGCGGTCTTCGTCGGCCTGAACATATCAAAAATAATCATCAATCAGCATTCATAATATCGTTCATCCATAATTTAAAATAGAAAATTCTAAATATAAAATTGTTCTAAAATGTAATGTAATTAGAAACTGTACTTGGAAGCTGAGTTCCTTGATGCGGCGTTCAGACTTGCGGAGGTTCTTCTGGGCATCGGCGTGTCTCCTCTGTTCACCGTCCAATTCATTCTCCAATTCACGGACGCGTTGTTCCAGTTTCTGGATCGCCTTCTTTCCGCCCTTGAGCGCGTTAGCCTCGGCTTCGTCGAGACGGACCTGGAGTTCCTTGATCTGGGTCTCGAGCGCCTTGCGCAGTTTCTCTTGCGTCTGAGCGTGGTCTTGTTCAGCTCGGAGTTCGTCAGCCAATCTGGCGGCATCGACCATCGCCTTCTTCGCCTTCTCCTCAGAGTTCTTCGCTTCGTTCAACAGCTCGTCCAAATCAGACTGCAAACGAAGATTTTCGTTAAACAGGCAAATTAATTCTACAAAGATTATATCATTGATTTCAAAATAGTAAGAATACTCACGTGAAGTGTTTGGAGTTCGGCCTCGAGTTTCCTCTTGGCAGCAGAGATGGAAGCGTTCTGGGCACCCAGTTCGTTGAGCTGTTCGTGGCAGTCGGCCAATTCCTGTTCAGCCTGGCGGCGTCCGCGGTCCGCTTGTTCAAGAAGAGTGCGGCTCTCTTCAAGTTCGTTCTGAAGAGCGTTCGCCCGACGCTCCGAGATACCGAGCAGTTCTCTGGCTTCGTCGCGCGCACGTTGTTCCTCCTCAAGCGCAGTCTGCACATCCTTCAGTTGTTGCTGGTATCTCTTGATATTCTTCTGGGCTTCAGCGTTCGCCTTGTTGGCGTGATCCAGAGCGATCTCGAGCTCGTTGATGTCGGCCTCCAGTTTCTTCTTCATGCGCAGCGCCTCAGCTTTGCCCTGGG